TATATATATATATATATATATATATATGTGCTAAAATATCTTTGCTGTTTTTCCTTTTTGGTTTGAATGGCCTGTATTTATAGTGGATTGGAGAACGGGAAAAGGTTAAATAGAGGATAAAATGTGTCAGGATTTTGCAAAATTAGTTATAGTAATTTGGTTTTTTCATTGATTCAATACGCCATATGGTGTGCCTAATTTAGCAAAGATGACGAATTATTAACAGCTGACTGTTGTCCCTTCTTGTTGCTCGTATGCGTCAGCATTTCTTCAGAACTCACGTTTCATGCATGGATAGAGCAAGTAGCAGAGAGTTTAATTTTTCTGCATTAATGGTGTAAATGTCTATAGTAAGCTTAAATTGGTAATATAGAAAATAGAGTAAATAACATGATGTAATTGGCTAATTTTACAGTATCGATGCATAATAACATGATCATTAATTATGTCACCTCTCATGCTTTAATAAAACATTTACGTACTAAAAAATCCTAAAAATCACAATATAGTTTTTTACTCTAAAATTGGATACAATTAAATTTGTACGTTTAAAAAAGGTAAAAATCTGCCTTTTTCGTTAATTACTTATCCGTAACCGACATCGAGCAACATCCGCGCCGTGATATCCGGGTTGGGTGTAAATATCACGGCCCTCTATCCGTCAACTGTAATGGTTTATCGTGTTTTCTGAGGTCATAGAACTCGTCCCGAGTCCGGGATGCATCGCTTTATCAGGCCCAATGGTGAGCACATCGTTCACTTTTCATGGATCTCGATACAAAGGGTTCCCACCCTCGATTTCAATCGCGTGTGTTCATGCCCTCATTCCGTTTTCTTCACCAGAAAATCGGGGTATACGTTATCCCCGATTTTACCCGTATACAGATAGTCCCCTCGTTTTTCGGGGAGTAGGTTTGCCGAAACAATGGAAAACGATAGATGAACCTCGGTTCCTTCCTTCGTACGTTACAACTGTGGTGACAGATAAACCGAAATGTCCCATCAGTCGCGTCGTTCTGACTTCGGACTCGTGTCAGTCACTGGCTAGCTGTGTTCGAGTGTGAAACGTCGTGCATTGACTATTTTTCTCCTATTTTGACCTTTTTTACTTCTTTCACTTTCTGATTCTACATTTTACCTTCGAACTTTCTAACAACTTTTAACTTTTTCAAATCTTCATACGCCGCTTTTTTGAATCTTCATATCTTTATCTCTAATCCTCATATATTTTCCTTGGATTTCCATCCTAGATCTTTATATCGTCATCCCACCTTCAAATCTTCATATTCTCTCTTCAAATCTTCATACTATTCCTTCAAATCTTAATATTTTCCCACATCACGATAGCTAAAACTTCCAAGTCCGTACCTTAACAAATGGCGCCCTCGTCTTCCAACCCGGCCACGGGTGCCGAGGTGGCAGCCCCCGAGGTGGCTCAAGAGCATCCCATGAAGAGCTTTATACCCAGGGGCTGCTCGATCGGGGATGACTTCAAGGTCGAGAAGGCGTCTAGTCAAGAAGACTGCGGCGAGGGAGCATGGAGATACATATGCTTAGTCACTGAAGAAACCCTACCCATAGTCCGAGCATACTGTAAATGGGAAGGTAAGGACGTAGCCGTCCCCAGAACCAATGATGATATTACTAATCACATGGAGGGGTACTTAAGTGTTTACACCTACCCCTTCACGCTAGCCCGATAGGCCCCGTAGACCTTGCTTTCTGCAAAAGGTACGAGGTGTGCCTTGGGAAAATCCATCTATCATTTTTGAGGATCGTGATCCTCTTACGCCATTTTGTGGACAATACTGAAAACCTTCGGTTCACCCTCGACCATCTACTCCGCTTATACAGTCCCCGAATTTTCGGATAGGGGCTGATCAAGCTTGTTCGCCAAGCAAGCAAGGCTCCTTTCTCGAGCATTGATGAGGATCGAGATCGAGGCTGGCAGGGGAGGTTCGTTCGGGTGAAAATTGAAGACCCGATCCCTCCTGATTTTATGTCATTCCCTGAGAAGTGGAACGCATCTCGTAAGTGTTGTCTTCCTTAGCTATTAACTTCTTTTTATTCCTTCTCTCATTGCCGCATTTGCTGTTGTACAGTTGTTGCCCGAGTTCCCAATGCAATTCCCCGATTCAAGGATTGGATTGATTGGATCTGTAGGCAGATGTCGTACTCTGAGCGCGCATGTCGCAAGCTTTCAAAGGGGAAATGGGAGACCCGTTCTCATTGTGAGGTTTTCCCTTGAATAATTAGCACCATGCTCTCGACTTAAACAGTGCTAACCTTATCTCTTTTCTTACAGGTTTGCCTAAGACCACAGAACTTAGGTCGTTGGACAAGGACGAGGATCCATCATCGCTTGCCCAACCCTCCGTTTCGGGGCAGCCCGGGGCTACCGAGAATGAGGAGAAGAAGAAGAAGAAGAAGAAGAAAAGGAAGTCCTCGGGTTCTCCGGGCGTGTAGGTGAAGAAGAGGAAAATGACCATCCGGGTAAAGAAGCCCAAAAAGAGTGCCAAGTCTAGGGTACCGGACCTCGATGCTCTCTACCGGCTCAGGGACGAGTGTTGATACCCAATTTTTCCCTATATATATTTCTTTATGCATATACTCTCAAAATAGCACATGTATGCATATATAAGCATGTCCAAAGTTCTTATATTTCTTTTTTCTTAATTTTTAAAGATTTTTAAACCAATTTATTTCCCTATTTTTATTCATAAAAAAAAACCAATAATAATTACCAAAATTATCATTTTTTGGTGATTCATTTATTGGATTCTCATATTTATACTAAAATATAGCTGATATAATTTTTTGCATATTTTTACAAATTCATTTGGTATTTTAAAGCTAAATTGCATATAATTGCAATATTAGCCCCTTTTAAGATTTAATTGCGTTTATATTTATAAAATTAAATCCAGTATTTTTAAATTGATAATTGTACATTATAAACCATTTTAGCACTTTTAATTTATTTCCAGAATTTAATTTACTATTTCTTATAAAAGAATGGGGAAAAATGGCTTTTCAAAATCTAGCCAGACTTCATTTCAATTGTAGCCCAATTCTACCCCAATTTAAACCCAATTACCCCGGCCGAATTCCTACTCATACCCGACCGCCAACCCAATTAAATCGACCCATACCCGGATCCCCACCTAGCCCCGTTAATCCCAACCGTTGATCACTTAGATCAACGGGTCTCGTTCCTCCTTTCCTAATTAAACCCAAAAGACCCCCCCAAACCCTCTCATTATTCACCATACGCCGCCTCTGAAATCCCTCTTCTCCTAAATCTTCTCTACAACACCCTCAAATCCTAGCCGCCGCCACCCTAATCCGCCCTAACCCATGGCCTTCCAAGGTCATCGGAGACTTGTGCCAGCCTCCCATGGCTCCTTTGTGTTTGTCCTTATGGTTTCAAGCCCAAACTATGAAGAACTCTGGTCCAGCCTTCGTTCGATTTTAGTTCATGGCCCTTCTCCGGTCATCTTTGGCTTTTCTCCGGCCAGCTATGGCCATTCGAGTCAGATCTTTGACTCTCCTGGTTAGATCGATAGCTCTCAAGGCTTTTCTCGTTGCTTTTGGGTTCTTCTGAAACCCTAATCTCTAAGATTCTTTCAGATCTATGCTTGTTTTGAACTTCTAAGCATTTTCTCGAAGTTTTTTTACAACTTTGCTTTCAAAACTCTATATTGTTTCCAATTAGGGTGTTCCTGTTAAGTTATTTCAAATCTCTTCTCTGATCTTTTGACATGTCTTGCTATGTTTGCTCGTATTGTTCTTCTATCTGAGTTTGCGTGATAAAAGCCCTAATTTCTTTTGGCTGTTTGTTAGTCGAATGCTTGTTTTGTTGGATTTGTTTGTGTATCATCTTTTAAACACTATTATTGTTGAAAAACCCTATGTCTTTAGGTATGAAACAGTTCGTTTAAATACTTGACTCGATTTGAAGTCTGTTGTTTCAGAATCTCTTTTCCTTTGTGTGATCCCTCTGATTCTGGGTTTCTATTATCTTCAAAACTTGACTACGATTGAAACCCTAATTTTTCAAAGGGGTTTCCTTACTCGCTGATATGAGACCTTCGCATGCTTTTGATATTCTATATTTTCTTCACTACTGATACAATGTGACTTGACCTACTGGACTATCATGTTTCGAATGTTGCTATTTACTGAAGTTTGTGCTACTATTGTGCGCTATTTCTTTTGCCGATAGGTTTGGCCACGCATGTATAATGTTTGTGTACTCTATTTATAAGCTGAGATTTCCTCTTTGATTGGTCTTCAATCTTGTGACTGATTTCAAATTTTTCTTTTGTGCAAATCTGATTTCACTCGCCTGCTAAGGTTAATTGATTCCTTTCCTTGTTTTACTTTACTGAATCCTTTC